CCAGACGGCCTCGCCGACGTCTACTTGATACGATACGGGGCCCGTGATGCCTACCACTTCGCCGCGCCGCCACCGTCGGGGGGCGCCATGTCCGCGCCCACACGGTCTGGCCTACCCTGAACTGGCGCGGACCTTCCTCCCGCTGCCTCCCTCTGGTTTTGCTGTTTCTCTTGTACATCTCGTGTGATGCTTAGGTGCACGAGATCGAACCTGGTGCGCATCGGGCGCCCGAACATCACTTCCCCCGGCGTCCGACCTGTCGTCGAGTGCGGTGCCGCGCGGTATGCCATCAGAAACGTGCACAGCCGGCGAGACAGGGAGCCCCCGTCCCTCAGCGCCGCCTTGAGGCCATTCTTAACGATCTGGACCGCTCGTTCGGCAGCCCCATTGCTGCTCGGGTGGTATGGTGCTGCCCTGACGTGTCGTACACCGTTCCCACTCAGGAATTCCGCGAAGTGCGGCGCTGTGAACTAAGGTCCGTTGTCGGAGACAAGCTGCCGTGGTACACCGAAACGAGCGAATATGGCTCGCAACTCCCGGACCGTGCTCTCTGTGCCCGTGTCTCTCATCGGACACACCTCAAGCCATTTGCTGAAACTGTCATGTACCACGAGGAAGCTGGAGCCCTAAAACGGCCCGGCAAAATCCACATGGATTCGCTCCCACGAGCCGCCAGCCGGCTCCCAGGTGGGCAGCGCGCTCCGTGGCGGGGCTCCTCACTTTTGTACACATGCGGTACAATCCCACGCCAGTGCCTCCAGTTCTGTGTCCATTCCTGGCTACCACACGTACCGGCGCGCCACTCCTTTCATCTTGGCGCTGCCGAGATGTCTGGTGTGCAGCTCCTACAGTACTCGCGACCGCAGCCTCTGGGGTATTACCGCTCTGCCTCCCCACAGTACCACGCCGTGGTCTGTGGACAGCTCCGCCTCCCGGTGTCGGAACGGCGCCAACTCCGGCTCCGTTTCTGTCGGCCATCCGCGCCTTATATACATAAGCACCTTCGCCAGCAGCGGGTCGCGCCGGGTGACGTTTTCGATCTCGCGGACTGTCAGCGGCGCTCCCGCGCCGTCCATGAACGACAAGTGGACTCCCGCCACCCTCTCTGTCCGCCTCCGCCCGCTCGTTTCCGCTGCACGGCACGGCAGCTCCGGGCCGACTGACTCGCAACGCCCGACAGTGACGCCACTCGCAGTGCGCCCATGAACAACGACTACGATGCGACGCAAGGCTACGATGCAACAATGGCCATGGGCTTTTCGGTCTCGAAAACAGGCTTATCCTTTTCACTGATCGTCTCGAATAAAAATGAACTGATTTCTAGAGGATATGTGGTCACGCACACGCGAAAAGGCACGCGATACCGTATGCAACTTCTGGTAACCGTCGTCTGGCTGCAGAAACCACGTCAAAGGTGTCTTGACCATCCTAGGCAACGGACTTCACTGCCCACACAACGCTTATGCCAAAGGGCATCGCCACCGCTGCCCAAACCAGGCCCTTCCCATACTCGACTCTGGCAACATCCACGGCAGGAGCTTGGTGGCGGCTGCAGAGTACAAATCATGGTCACGGTTAGCTCTCGGCAGCCCGGCGGTTCTCCGGGATGCAAATGGGAGACGATGCACCGCTGCTTTCAAACCATCCCATTTGGTTTATCACCCCGGACGGGTCTGCAGCTTTTGTTCATGGTCGGAGCTCCGCGGTCTGTTGCAAGGGGTTTGCAGACCAGGAATTCCTGTCATCAACGGAATGTTTACCACCGCCTCAGTGGAAACCTTACGTGAGCAGTAATCGCATCGCAATCTGGTCACCAGTTACGTCATTTCACGACGTGACGTCATAGGCATTGGTGGAGGCGCAGCCAGACCTATTGTGTCAAATCGCCCCATACATCAGCGGGAACGTTACAATGCAGCAGTCAGATGACCATTTTTGGGCTACATCATGAATGTGTTTAAGGTGACGGAAGCCACTCGTCAAAGTTGGGTTGGAGTTAATAACATAAATATCCGCTAGCAAAGCATAAATTATTATTGATAAGCACATGGACCGAACGACCAGTTTTGCATGGACTTAACGACCAGTTTGTGATCTGGTATCGTAAAAATTTCACCGGCGTTCATGAAAGATCAGGGACCTTATATGGCCTTTGGAGGGTAGAGTTGACAACAAACGTCGCGATTGTTTTTCTACTTGACTTTGCAATCGGTGTCAAGTACTGTTCCACGTGGAGTAGTACAAGTACTACCTCAGGTATCAAAGCAAAGGGCTGATCGAGGTCATTTAAGGTCACTTATGTTTTCTGATCTTCGTGCCAACATAACAAATATTTTGCGTCGTTGTGGTCCTGGAGTTATAACTGAATGTAAAAAAGCTCATTAAACAAAATTACTGAAATCAACCGGATTGGTTATTACCTTCATCTGATCTCCATACCACTTACAATGTAAATGGGATAGATCCTATTTTCAATAGTTCAATCTTCTAACAATCATTTCAGAATTGTATGATTTCATCTAACATCACTTTGTCCCATCATGTTGCAACCATGCCCTACAAAATACACTCAATGACAGCCATGGCCCGAATTTGACCTGTCGTAGATCAGTAGCCCGACAAGGTGCTTTTGACTTATTATACCAAAAAAATCGGTTGGATAGTCTCCAGCAACCAACAAAGTTTGAATAGGCTGCGTCGCACCGTTTGTAATTTATTCTGAAAGCAGGTTATTTGAGTGGCTCACTTTGCTCCCCCCCCCCCCCCCCCCCCCCCGACTCCGTGCTACACGAGATTGCTTGGACAAGCATCGAACCGTAAACATTGCACCAGTGGCTGATCGAAATAGCATCCGTCCTGGCTTTCATTCCATGCAATCTCCTTCCAAAGCAGTCGAAATTTACCTTCAGAAATGCACCCCTTGTTGAGGCGAATCAAGGTATGAGTGAAGAAACAGATTCTCAGGTGTATCTGACTGGGGATTCTCGTGGAAGCAGAAGTGGGGAAAGAAACTGCCACGTGCACGCCACCATACAGCACGCTACCGCACAAGGCATGGAGATAAGGGTTGCCACTGCTACCTGGCGACAATATGACAAACCACCGCTGGATCTCAGTCATGCTCTCAGGAAATAGGTGGAAGGAATTAATGTGTGCTGATCCTCTGGTTCCCTCTCTTTAACCCACAATGTTTACCCACTTGTTTCTGTCTCGGTGCTTAGCTTGACAATGCGTGCAACATGCATTGATGTGAACTTAATCCTGCGATGGCGTTCAGGATTGTTCAGCAGCTCTTGTCAGAGCAGTTATTTTTCTTACCGTTGTGAGGAGTACCCGGAATTACTGAGACGGAGGCTGAGTCCTCGGGAAAAGCGTCCGTGCAAAAATAAGCAAAAATATAGAAAGAGGATGGAAAAACGAGGAACCGTACCGGCACAGAGTCACGTGTCCAGCTGTGAGGGCGATGACAGGCTGAGAGAGTGTTCTGGAGAGAGATGCGACTACAAACCTAATGAAGATCACGACCCAACCGTACATAGTCTGGGCTGCACATCGTCTGCAGCATGTACGGTGCATCGCGATGGGCATGGCGGACATTTTGTACGAGAGGAGGTTACGAGACTGTATGCAAATGCGTTCTAGACTAGCTGGACATGTACGTGCCACTCATCAGTCAGCATCCCAAAAGCAGGCTACGGTTTTTACGGGCTGATGAATGCTGGACCATACGGTTAGCTTTCCTCGCATTAGTTTTACGTTTGTGGTGTAACGAAAAGGCTTCTAAAGTGCTGTACTGGTTTCGATTGGCTCTAAATACTGCATGCAGATACAGCAGTACTAATAGAGTCTGTGTGATTTTAGAACCAAGGTTTGAACCTCATTGATATACATCCCATAAAATATTGCTGAGAAACAAACTATGTTAAAACCACTCTGCTCACGTACTGTGCTTTTTTCTGCAACGAAACGGGAATGTTTGACACAACCCGTCATTATCGGTGTTACAAGACTTGATATCGGACGCCGCTGAGCCAGTGCGCGGGGCGTCACAAACCGGTAAAGTCAACGTCCTTCAGACATCACCACTCCCGTCACTCCCGTCGTCTGATTTGTATTCGTCAGTTGTCCGATGAGATACGACACTCAATGGAGGTAGAAAGGTGCTCACTGATACGTCATATCCACGGAATGGTGGTTTTTGGAATATTCCGTTGAAATTCAGTTGAATGTTCAGCTGAAGTTCAGAATAAATCTCATTATTTTTCACAGTGTCTTGCACCGGTATGACACTGTTCCTGCTTTGTCGCTGGTTAGGAGCACCGTCTCCACTCCAGTGTCGGTTATGGTCGCCAGCTGTTCAGTAGTAGCCTCCCCCACCGCTCTGCTGAGGAGCAGCTCCAGCGTTGGAGGTCGAGCCCTGGCCCAGAATGCCACTAAACTGGGCATTGCTGGCATGTCCCGCGTTAGTACTGCTGCCGCCGGCCCGAGGCAGAACCCTGCAAACAGAAGACACGTGCTTAGCACTCTGAGCCGTGAATCAATATTGAGCGGCGACCGTGAGTGATTGCATCACGTTATGTCTGGGTTGAGCGATTTACTCCCCTTGATGAACCGCTATTTCTAATATACGCTGAAGCATTTCTACTGTCCAGCTATCGGAACAGCCTTATATGCTTTCGCGGCAAAATAAGTAGGTATGTTTGGGCATTTACCATCAGAGTACCCCCGGCAAAGACTCACCTTCGCACGGGCGTCAGTGCTGGTGACTGATGTTGAGCCAGCTGGGCCTAGAGTTTGACCTGAGGCGACGTTGCCGCCGGCAGATCCCGTCGCTGCACTGTGGCCTCCAAACCCTCCGAACTGGTGGCTGACGGCTCCCGTTCCACCCAGCGTAGAGCCGCCGCTGAGTGATCCTGCACCGCCGAGGAGACCTCCCCCGTTGCCACCCGCGTCCCCGAAGGAGCTACCTCCGCCAAGATGACCTCCTCCGACGATCGTACCTCCTCCAAGACCTCCTCCATCTGGGTGTCCGCCTCCAATACTGCCTCCTACCGGATGTCCACCTCCTACGCTTCCTACTCCAACAGGTCTACCTCCGAGGCTCCCTCCTCCAACATGGCCACCTCCTGTGCTTCCTCCTCCAATAGGGCCGCCTGACAAGCTTCCTCCTCCGACAGATCCACTTCCGCCGATGCTTCCTCCTCCCAGGTGTCCACCTCTGATGCTTCCCCCTCCCAGACTGCCACCACCGCCACCGCCGCCGCCACCGCTGCCACCGCCGCCGCCGCCACTGCCGAAGCCGAAGCCGAAGCCCGTCCCGCTGCCGGAGACCCTGCCGCCGCCGATGCTGCCTCTGTTGCCATAGTTCCTGCCGCAGCTGACGGCGCAGACGACGCTCAGCAGGATGACGAAACGCTTCATGGTAACCTGAGGGGCGGGACAGGCGAGGCGTCAGCTGGACGGGCAAGTCAGTCGTCTTGGCTACAGCAATCGGCAAACATTATCATCAGCGGGGGATGAGTTGAAAACGCTTAGATGGAAGGGTGAAACTTTGAATTCGGCTAATGGAATGTGTCACTGGGATTACTTCTCGTAATGACTACTCAAATAATGTCGTTTTAATTTTATACCTACTGCGCATGAAATTTTGGCATTTGTCTTTGTAAGTTGTGTCAACTACTAATATTCAAGTTTGGAGGTTTTTGACGATATTGCTTAATGAGATCACCTATTCTCTTCGATTACAAAGCTTGGATGATATTAATGGATAAGTGGTTATAAGTCTCGTTGAATTGTTCCATGCAGTTCTTCCTCAATTTCTCCCATGTCATCATAGCTCGCATAACGGTGCTCAGCAGCGTAGCATTATACTTTGATATAACTTACTCTAATTCAACTTTAGCCGGTTGTTATTAAAGAATTGTGAACGGGACGTTTGAACTAAACATTCGCTGGGTCGTAATGACATGCTTTCGAAAACCCGTTTCCGAGGCCACTTTTGTACGATGAGATGCTCAAATGTGTTACGCTTTACACCAGAGACGTACATCACCCAAAACTTATTTAAGCCAATTGGTATGAGCAGTCCAGGCCGGGTAGCAGAACAACTCTAAACACTCACCTTGTGTTGTGGAGCGAGGCGGACGACTGTATGCTGATGGCAAGCACGGCTGTATTTTATACATGACCTGCTGCAGATATGGCGGGCGTGCCGGTCTTTCCACCGATCCTCTGTTCGCGATCATCCTTGCCAGCCTAACTGTGAAGAACTATGTGACGTTTGCGAAGCCAAGTCCGGAGAACCGATAACCAACCCTGCAGCATGTGCTGGAGCGGGGCTTTCCATGGGGGCGCCTTACTCACAAAATGAATGGTGATTTGAGGTGGACGCCTGTCGAATCATGCGACACTGAGCTAATATGGAGGTGATGGTTCTTTTTTTTAGAAGCGCCCAGGAAGTTCCATTGCCGTCACCATGCCAGCACGTATAGTACATTTGGAGCGTGTGGAAACTGCGACAGTCTATCGATTTATATCGAATATGGGCGGACAAATGGCGGTCTGCACATGCCAGAATTAAGGTGATGCCGTCAACCATACACGCGGTATGAGCTCCAAAGGCTCACTTACTCTAACAACCTGGCACTACAACAGCTAAAGTATGCATTTTAGTTTATCTTTTACGTCGGGTATTCACGAGCTCAAATATTAAAGCTGGGTGTGTGTTATTTGCTCAGTGAGATTGCCACCGGAATCTGCGGAAGTGCCATACAGCTGCATGTCGTCTGTCTTACCAAAATCACGACTCATTCGGTTTCGGTTGTTGGACTAATTAGCCCGAGATATATTGATTATTCGGCAGAAAATGAATGCTTTTCACCCACAATACCAAAATGACCTCAGCTGATTACTCTAATCCCAGGCAACGTCGGCGAAAGGATATATTCTCTCATGCTCAAATCCCTCGCTACCATAAACATCCAGCAAAACAGCTTTTCAGCGTGAACTGTTCTTCTAAGATATATCAAGCTGAAAATATGTGGTGGCAATGATTTATCAGAAAATATGTTGTGGTAAGCAATTTTATCAAAAATATATCTATCTATCATAGACAACCCACAAAGCATCTGCTTAGCACGCCAATCTACGCATTAACTCCTTTCTATCACACCTCACTTTTGAAGGAGCTTATTATAAAAAAATTGCAGCGGGGACCTGAAATACTTGGGTAAAGATCTATCAGCCAAATAATTGAATGCAAACCTCACCTGTTTTGTTCATCAATGCAGTGTCAGAATAAGCGTCTCTTGGGGTAGTGGTGGATGCCTCGGAAAGAGGACCGCTTGGCCACCGTCATTCGACCGTAGGCCCTCTCGCAGCACCACGCGACGACATCGGTTTCCCCGGACGACAGGCGGCCACCCATCGGTATGCCATCTGACATCGGTCCCCGGGGCAGACCGACGTCAGGCTCGCCCCAGGCCGGGAGTGACCCGCTATGGAACAGGTACGCTGGCGTCGTGGTGTACGGGCAGCCGGCCCGCACCAGTGCTGCCACCTGTGCGCGGTTCATGAAATAACGGTGTCGCGGGATGAGCCTTCAGAGAATGGCATCGAAGCGGCGCGCCCTGTGATAGTTAGAAAAAGTGAGTGTGGGAGAAACTCCGGTGCAGAGTCTATGAAGCTTCTGAAGAACTCAGTTCAGACCAACTTCGCAGGCAGAGTCTTGTTGAGGGTTCTGGGGTATCGGGGCGCAATGCTGAGAAATATCTCCTGGTTGAAAAAATGTGATGTGACCTGAGGTCTTGGGCGTGATTAGTGATCTCGCAGCTTAAAATGTATTACATGTCTCGATTTCCTGCTGAGGCCAGTCTCCTTTCGCCAAAGTTTCCTCATTCTTAATCTGGGAACGACAGGGCTGTTGCATCGCCCCTCTGACATGTCCAATAAAAACGGAGAATCGTGGCGAAGGTTGGTCTTGCCATGTCGACGATCTCGTGAGGTAAGGATTATCATAGATTGAACACTAACATCGTATCTGCCCTCTTTCAACGAGAGCAGGTATCACAGTGGGCCTCAATACCTGTCCCCATTATCGACTAAAAGATGTTTGCGTCACAGCCTAGGGTGCCTACCGGCCACAAATGGGACCTTCTGGTTAATCTGGAAACCACAAAGAAGAAACGCATCATCTATTGCCCCCCTACCCCCCCCCCCCCCCCCCCCCCCACCCCCGTCTGACGAAGGAGATCCTCTGTTCTTAAACAAATGACACCGAATCGACGCCAAAACCTTTGCTTTCGCAAACAAAAAACTTTTAACCGGCAATAAGTTCAGTAGTATGAAACTGGAGCGGCTCAACTGGATTCCCTTGTTTTATAAGCATACGAAAATCAGCATGATAAGACCTGCCACCTTTATTACGCCATAGCCATAGCAAGCGTTTACATTCGTCGATCGATACATGCCATCGATACTGGAATCTGTTTTAGCGTACGTCAAAGTCGTGATCGCAGAAATTCCAAAGCCATGGCCATGGCCTTTTCGGTTGCGAAAACAGGCTTATCCTGTTAACCGATCGTCCTCGAATAAAAACTAGATTGACCCCTGGATGACATGTGTGCACGCGCGCGGGAGCAGACATGCAATACCATATGCACTTCTGGTAACCGTCGTCTGGCTGCAGAAACCACGTCAAAGGTGTTTTGACCATCCTAGGCAACGGACGTCACTGTCCACACAACGCTTATGTCAAAGGGCATCGCACCGCTGCCCCAAACCAGGCCCTTCCCAAACTCGACTCTGGCAACATCCACGGCAGGAGCTTGGTGGCGGCTGCAGAGTGCAAATCATGGTCACGGTTAGGTCTGGGCAGCCCGGTGGTTCTCAGGGATGCCAATGGGAGACGATGCACCGCTGCTTTCAAACCATCCCATTTGATTTATCACCCCGGACGGGTCTGCAGCTTTTATTCATGGTCGGAGCTCCGCGGTCTGTTGCAAGGGGTTTGCAGACCAGGAATTCCTGTCATCAACGGAATGTTTACCACCGCCTCAGTGGAAACCTTACGTGAGCAGTAATCGCATCGCAATCTGGTCACCAGTTACGTCATTTCACGACGTGACGTCATAGGCATTGGCGGAGGCGCAGCCGGACCTATAGTGTCAAATCGTCCCATACATCAGCGGGAAGCGTTACAATGCAGCAGTCAGATGACTATTTTTGGGCTACATCATGAAATGTGTTTAAGGTGGGGGAAGCCACTCGTCAGAGGTGGTTGGAGTTAATAGCGTAAATATCCGCTAGCAAAGCAAAACTTATTCTTGATAAACACATGGACTCGACGACCAGGCTTGCATGGAATTATCGACCAGTTTGTCATCTGGTATCGTAAAAGTTTCACCGGCGTTCATGAAAGATCAAGAACCATATTTGACCTTTGGAGGGTAGAGTTGACAAAAAACATCGGGATTGTTTTTCTACTTAAATTTGCAATCGGTGCCATGTACTGCTCCAGTTGGAGTAGTACAAGAAATACTCCAGGTATCAAGCAAAGGGCTGATCGAGGTCATTTAGGGTCACTTATGTCCTCTGATTTTCATGTCTTCAAAGTAACCAATATATTTTGCGTCGTTGTGGTCCGGGAGTTATAAATGAAGGTAAAAAAGCTCATTAAACAAACTTAGTGAAATCAACCGGTTTGGTTATTACCGTCATCTGACCTCAATGCCACTTACAATGTAAATGGGATAGATCCTATTTTCAATAGTCCAATCTTCTAATAATCATTTCAGAATTGTACGATTTCATCTAACATTACGTTGTCCCATCTTGTTGCACCATGCCCTACAAAATACACTCAATGACAGCCATGGCCTGAATTTGACCTGTCGTAGATCAGTAGCCCGACAAGGTGCTTTTGACTTATTATACAAAAAATCGGTTGCAGAGTCTCCAGCAACTAAACAAAGTTTGAATAGGTTGCGTCGCGCCGTTTGTAAGTTATTCTGAAAGCAAACCATTTGAGGGGTTCATTTTACCCCCCCCCCCCTCCCCCCTCCCCTCACCGACTACGTGCTACACGAGATTGCTTGGACAAGCATCGAACCGTAAACATTGCACCAGTGGCTGATCAAAATAGCATCCGTCCTTGCTTTTATTCCATGCAATCTCCTTCCAAAGAAGTCGAAATTTTACCTTCAGAAATGTACCTCTTCTTGAGACGAATCAAGGTATGAGTGAAGAAACAGATTCTCAGGTGTATCTGACTGGGGATTCTCGTGGAAGCAGAAGTGGGGAAAGAAACTGCCACGTGCACGCCACCATACAGCACGCTACCGCACAAGGCATGGAGATAAAGGTTGCCACTGCTACCTGGCGACAATATGACAAACCACCGCTGGATCTCAGTCATGCTCTCAGGAAAT